TCTCTATTAAAAGGTAAATATTGATGGTAAATATCAACTTTCAGTTGAGTATGCATTATGTACTTTACCTATTCAGTACTTAATGGTATCTTTATCCCATAATGTCAGCATACTGACTTTTCGATTTTCGAGCCATTTAGTGTCTTTCCAAGTCTTACGCCTCTTTCATGTTTCATACCATGAGACTTTTGTCTATCAATGATTCAATGTTAACTCGATTTTCGTTTTTCTTCATCTTTCCTAATCAACCATTGATGATTCAATTGATGATGTTTGCGCTGATTTAATCCTCAAAATCAAAGTAAATCTCGTTATTGACTGAAAATTTTTTGACAATTTAATCTTGTCAACGGTTGTCTGATTAATTTTAAAGTGTAATTTGTACATTTCATTCGAGATTTTGATACAATTTACTGAATACAAAACAAGCCTAAAAGTGGATAACATCATGAAATATAACAATCGAGATCCACATTCATCAGCAGCGGAAATTTCGGACTACTTTTTGGTTTTCAAATCAATCGACTTGTTTCACATTCAAGTTTGAGTAACCTTTGCAAGTCACTCTTCACCTTATCAACTAGCATCTAGAAATAATAATAATGATAAACTCGAGGAATAATGGTACTATTCAGGAGAAAAGTAAAACATCGATTCTCATGATATGATAATTGATTATTTTAATGGATCGATAGAATCAGTGCGAAACTGCGAAAATTTGAAAGGACAAAAGTCATCAGCAGAGTACAGCAAGTGTGCCCTAGTTTAAAGCTCTTAAGTGTTGCTCTTGAAATCGATAAATTCAAGTTCACGATATTGACTTGAATTGATTGTTGAACATTGATGACGAGAAAAATGAATTTTATCACCAGAAAAGTTGCCATTTTTAAATTTTCATCTAGCATCTGCAAGAATTGCCTTTGGTTTAAAGTTGAAACCAACTTCAACCAAATTAACTGTCACTTGATTGAGTCACCAGTAAAGGGTGACAATGCATGCTGACAACAATTAAAAGTGATTAGTAAATAAATGAAGCAAAAGCAACAGCCAATGTCAATGTTTTGACATTTACTTGAAAATAAACTGTACAATTGAAGAACCATCTTCATGACTCATTTTAATCAAATTAACAGATAATTAAAACAATATCTTTAAAAGGTGACAATCAACATTGATATTAACTTTGCTCTTCCACTCAACTCAAGATTAACCCAAAAAGGTAAATCACTGAATCGTCATAAAATGAGCATCAAATGAAGTATCAAAATTGGTAACTTGAAAAGGTACAAGAGTGACACAGTAAAGGAGTGAGAGATGATAAAATGATAAAATGATGATGATAGGTGGTAAATGATGATGAGCTTGAAGAGGAGGATAAAGAGGAAGGAAGGAAGACTCTACAAGAATATCTATTTTTTGTCAATAACATTCTTAATAAAGTGAGATAAATGTTTAAAGTTTTTTTTGCTCTTCGACTTTTTTCGCCAACTTTTTGTCATAAACTTTACCTGATGAACAAAAACTATGGCATCAAAAGTTATTGATTGGTAGAGAGAGAGAGAGAAAGCGAAAGAAGAAAAAAATTCATGAAAAGTTTGAAAGGAGTTGAAAAGGTAATGGTTAAGCTGAATATAAAGGGAATGAAAATGAAAAGGTTTTGTTGCTCGGAGTGAAAAAGGTGAAATAAAGATGAGGAAAAAAAAGATGATCAAAAAGGATGATAGAGACTCTAATAGAGTAAAGATTTGTTTTTAAGATGAAAATGAAAGTTGCGATGAGGATATTAATGAGGTTGTGAGATGAAAGGTTTGAGAAGGCAGAAAAAGGACAAAATTGGTTGACATTGTAAATACATTTTCACATTGACTGATTAGGGACGTTCAATTTCAAGTGTAAATGAAAAAATTGAACTTCTCAATGTTCATTTCAACCTTAAATGTCTCTGAGCAAACAGAAACTGCTATCTTTCAGTTTCATCCACTTCACCTACTTCACCCTCTTCTTGCTCATCTTCATCCTTTCCATTGTCATTACTTTGGTCATCGTTACTGTGCAACTCTGAGTCAGGCAAAGGGTCGATAGTTTTGCAACCGAAGAGAGTCACTCTTGCCCCATCAACTAGACCACTCAATGAGGGTCTTTTGACGAACACTTTTCTTGCTTCATTAAAATGCTTTTCATCTTTCATCTTCTTAGTTTGTCATCCTTTTAATCCTTGAATCCAAAAGACTTCAATTAAGATCATATGATGATGAGTTGGTCAGTGAAAATTGATTCAACGGAAAGGTTGAAAAGAATTGACCAGAAAAGTAAATCAGAACCTTCAATTGGAAGCTTTTCTTTTTTTCCCCACTTTCTTTCTTCCCTCATCAGGGCAAGATTCAGAGTATGAAAGTTCAAGTATCCTTCAACATGATGATCATGGTAAAAATTGTTCATCAAGAGTAAGCTTGAGCTGGGTTTTCAGGGTGAAAATGGTGAAAATCTAGATTTTGTTTGTTTTCATTCACTTGATAACAAATTATTAGAGAATTGCATGAATAAAGATTCAATCAATTTTCATTTTCATCCTTTCATCTCTTCCTTTTTCTCTCGCTATCATCCAATTAATGAGAATCAGAATGAGCAAAAAAAGATTTTCTCTAATCAGTTTTGTCCACTGAATTACATGATTGATAATCAAGAAGTTTATCAAGGTCATTTTTTCGAGTTTTTTTACCAATCCTTTCCACTTTTACTTGTCAACATTGAGATTTCAGGTTAACACTTCTTGCTCATTTTCATATTATTCAATTATATGGATAATATTGTGAGTTGTTCAAGTTGATTAATATTGTTTGAGTTAAACATTGAAAATCAATTTTCACTTTCAACATTGATCGGTACAATCGTACGATTAATTGAATTGTTAACTTGACAATTCACTTATGATTAACCATCCATTGCATTGAGCCATGAATCAATCAGAATGATGAGGAAGAAAAAATATTGAACCAGAAAATGTTCAAAGATGCAATGTAAATAGCCAAGTGAAAGATGTGAAGAGAAGTGAAAAGACGATGAAATCGACAAGTTTAATTAATTTAAACTTGATCAACGTAAAGAAAACAATTGATTGTGTGTGTGTGTTTTAATCATTACCAGGATAAGCAAAATTTTTTGATGAAACAAGCATTAATGGATGAGGGAAAAAAAGTCAACAGAAATGGTGCAAAAATGTAATGTAAAGGAGAATGAAAAAAGTGGTAAAAAACAATTGGTTTAATGTTGATGAAAGTTGAATTGTTTACTAATCAATTATTGCAATCAATAATTATTGTTTGCCTAAACTCAAAATAACTGTGCTTGTCAGGTGAACAAACCAGAAAATATAAAACAATCAAAGATGGAAACTAATGGATGGCAACTGCATTAATCAATGGTAATTGATTAACAGTTAAACTTGAAAATGCTTTTCACGAGTTGCAAATGCGCTTCAAACCTCACAATGGAAACCAATTTTTTAAACGTTAATCGTTTCAGTTAAAGAGTTGAATGGAACAGAATCATGAAGAATCATCGTCTCGATAAAAATTCATTCCTCAGTATCGAGTCAATTTGCGAACAAGATTTTGATCAATTTTTCTTTGCTCTTTTTCAGTTAAACTCGAGGGAACCTTTTTCAACTTGATTCCCTTTCAAGAATATGACAGAAAGATTTTATGTTAAAAGGTCAGAACATTCAACGAATTTCAAACTTCCAATCCAAACGCAGTTTCCTAATCCTAATCAGCATTTAGTTTTCACAGCTACTAATATTCCTTGCGTTGTCAGCCTGTGAGCTAGTGTTGGCAACTGTACCACAGTCACATTGGAGATGAATCTTTGCTTATGCAGGGTCAACAATGCTTGTCAGTAGAGCTGGACGATAACAATAACAATATCGATAGTAATCGATAACTTTGATACATTATCGATAAATATTTTCAGCGATCGATAACAAATTAAAATGAATAAAAATCTCATAATCACATCTTATAGCTCTTGTAATCTCATGACATTTACTCCAATTACTGCTCAAAGAAACTGACTAAAACCAGAATCTGTTTAGGTTTTGTGTTTTCTCAAGTCGTAGGTAATTTTTTTCGCATAAATTTTTTATTTCTCGGTAAATATTTTCGATAACAATAACATTAACTCGTCGATAATCATTCATGCAATAACAATAACTATTGCTGACTTATTTTTCTGTTATCGTTAAACTCTAATTTACTAATCCGACTAGTCTTTCGTTGATGTCTATTTCTTCACCTGGTTTTGAAACGCTATTCTCAACACCAGAAGTTTAAAGGTTACACCTGTTTCTGCCGATCTTGAATCGATTACCAATTCAAGAAATTATTTCTCTTCCACCTTCAATTACCGTAAACATTTTTATTCAACTTCAAGTTGACTGATCAATGAACTCGCAATTTTCAGTGGCTTGACTAACCAATTATCCTCAGCTGATGACGAAACCAAAATTTAACACAAAACTGGTCGAAATTGAAATCGAATTGAAAAAGTAATGTTTAAATGAAAACTTTTCAATTCTCATTTGCTAATCAATGTGTATTGAAATCTTGCAAACAGTTTACTTGGTTCAAGTCTATTCACTAATCATTAAATTAATAATAAAACATGCAAATAAAATTCAAATGATTGTTCATCAAATCAAGTTTGCCTTTACAGCGAAAAGTTTTTTTTCATTTTAACAATTGATCTTTTGTATTATTTAGCAAAGCAAAATAATTTTGTTTTTGTATTTTTCAGATTTTTCTTCTTCTCAATAGGAATGAATGTTATTGATAATGGATGAATAATGAATGAAATGAAATACATTGATATATTTTGTTGTAAAGCAATCATTGAATCTATTCATAATGATATTTCATCATGTCATTGATTCACTTTTTGTTTTCAATCAACAGTCAAAAGTGTTATCAAATGAAAAATGGTTGTTATATTAAACTGCGGCTTACTTGATAAACATTGATACTCCAGTTGGTTCCATGGCTCTTTGAATACCTTTCCATGATTTGGTTATTTGAAATTTTTGCCTTGCATTGAGAGGAAGCCTTGGATCTGGTGGTGGAGGTTCAGGTACTTCCAATGGGTTATTGGACACGTTACCCGATTTACGGACACTTGAGTTGCACCCTGAGCTGTTGTTTAAATGGTGTTTGGTAAAGGCACAGCCCATGGTGATGGATGTTAATCGTTGACCTGATTTGTAGGTTGTCGTTGATTGACTTTGCTTACTTACTCGCTGCTAATATAAACGAGAAATGTAAATAAAAAACTGTTGACAATTGAATGGGAAACAGTAAAGAGCAATGATGATGGTGATCAAAATGATAATCCAGTTGTTTGAATAAGCAGATTATAAATGAATGAAGAGGAGATGGGAAAGACTTGATAAGATGATAGACAGAGAGAATAACCTAAATTTTGGTCTTTTAAAGGTGATGGTGCAAAACAATTGGTTAGATTGATTAAGATTGATGTCGCAAAGATTCATTAAGAGTCCATCACTGGACCAGATTAGAGTAAATTAACTACAGTTGTATACTCGATGTGGTTGTGCTCGAAAAGGTTGTATTGAAACAGCAATTAGTCCCTCAGAGTAAAAGGAAAAGGCATGCGTAAGGAAAATTTACGATGCAATATTGTTTTCATGAGAAAAATTGAATTGATTCAACGAAAAGTTGGTGAAATTATCTTACAATAGATGGCACTTAACAAAAGTCGCGAAAAGTAAGCAACACCTAGGTGCGTTATCTAGTGGTTAATGGAAAGACTATTTTCAAGTTACATTAAAAGCCGATAGATGGTATAAGAAGCAACTTAAATTGCATTGAAGTTCATTTTATCCGATACAATGCATTAGCTTATAAAGAGTAACTTAATGAATTTTAATAAACCAATGAAAGGGATCGATCGAATGGTTCGATTTTTCTGAACAAATGCTCCAAAAATATTAGCGTTCAAATGATTAGTTTTCAAACTTGCAATATTGTGCAATGAAAATAATAGTTTTAATTGATGTTAGGAACAAAGCGCTTCGATGAGCTTTGATAATCTAAAATTTGAAAGCTACATTAAAATCAGTCTTTAATTTCACAAGCTCTACTCTTAATTAAATTTCGGCATTTAATTGTTATTGGTTCATAAATGCTTTTGATAATCGCTATTCAAGAACGGTAATACTCATTAATGTTTTGTCAATACTCAACATTATCGATTCAAATCGATACTTTATCCAGAATCATGGGACTTGAACGCTGGTTAGCTTTTCTTTATTCAATGAACTTGACTACACAAGACTGATAAGATCATTTATCAATAATATGGTTCGACATTTACTGTTCTAAAAGATGGGCCAATGGACAATTGACTAAATTAAATAGCTTTTATTTTAATTTGGAAGCCAGTTCGTTAAATTATCTGAGGTAATATTAGTAATAGTTGTAACTGCCGAATCAGAATGATTTTGGTTCATCAAATTAAACTTTTGTAATTTTCTGCCAATAATCATCGGACGCTTTACAATTGATTTACTGGTGTTACCATGTCTAGCCATTTTTACATCAAATTGATTGTTATTGGAATAATTGTGGTTACTCTTTTTGATTACCTCAACAACTAACCACTGGTCTCTAGTCTCTGGCTTTTTATTTTCCCGTCAAACAATTAACTTTGTAATAAAAACAAAACCTTGAGCCTCTTCATTTTGATACTTTGTATTCATGACTTGACCACTTTCATGTAATGACGAGACAGTCTTCTTTCAATGCTAGTTGAAACAAATTACTCTGAAACTGTGAAGTGTTTAAAAAGTGTAATCATTATTAAAGTGAAACAATTAATTGGACATTAAGCGTTTAACTCAAAATGGGAATCAATAAATTTTCTCTGACAAGACCAATCATTTTAAAGAAGCACAATTTAGTCAAATCATTTGAAATTCAGTTTACGAAAACAGAATATATTGCAATCGAGAAATCAGCAAAGCGCAACAAAACATGCAAAAGAACACTAAACACTTACATTGAAAACTAATGCTCTCAATAATTATGAATAAACTTGTTCTTTCCTCACCATTGCAAAGTCAATCGATTAATATTGCTCATTTCCGTCTTTTATTAACCATCGATTTTCCAAAGACTCAATGATCTATAGCTATTCAAAAGATAACTTTTTGGTATCTTCAATACATTGAGCTGTATCTTAACATCGAAATGAAGCAAATCAAACGCTACATTAATGATGAAGGAAATGACGATCAGTATCATTGCAATCGAAACGAGTTTTATATTAGGCACTTGCAGCAAACAGTTAATTCTTGATATTTTAAAACCGAGGGTTACTTCGGTACAAAATTGGCTTTTGGGAAGTTTTTTATTTTTCATTGTAAACTGGATCCAAGAAAAAGTAAAAGATATTCTTAAGTAGAATAATTAGCAAATTTCGTCAAAAATTGAACTTAACCAAAAGTCAAAACTAGTCTATAAAAGGTCAATCAACGAAGATTGAATCAAAATCATATTGTTCAAGAAACTCAATTCTAATAAAAAGTTGATAACATGAAAAAATCGACAGACGTTTGTTATTGAAATAAAATGAATATCAAGAAATATCTGGAAATTTGTAGCTTTTTTCAGCAAAAGATTTACACTAACATGTTGTAAGTGTTTCTAGATTGTTTCATGAAACACTGAAATGATTTGAAAGTGTGATTAAAAGACGATTTACATTGTAACAGATTAAATTGTTTATTATGTTTCTTTTTGTTGAACAACAATAATAACCATTATATGACAACCTACTCTTTAACATTATTATCAATTGATAAACGCCTAAAGAAATTTTCTTGTGGTTCTCAGGTAACAGTCAATTTGCCTAATTTGACCGCAAATTTAAAATGAAAAAAAATCGCCATTCTGCTCTTCATTTTCATCATCATCATCATTCTCATCATTTTCCTCCGATGATGATCATCTTCTTACCCGTATCCTCCTAAAATGATTTTAAAGTCAAAAAAAAGATACTTAAAGATTTACACGATTCTTTAAATACTAAGTAACTTTAGATGATCTCAAGTAGGATGTTCACAATTGAATATGAATATGATTACATTTAAATGATAGGCAACTCTATTTAACTTTACAAATATGATTATTCAAACGTGATCGATTTAACAACAATATAACCCTAATGATAACCATGAAAGTTATCAACAAATTGTCGTCTCAACATTCAAATTGAAATGAACACTTTCACCTGTAATATACATGATAATCAACCAACAATAAGCAACAATCAAGTGCAATCAATTTCTCTGTCCATCAAGAAAATTGTTCAATTACTAAACATTTACCATTAACATGAAAATAATTTGTCGCCAAAATCAATAAGTCAAACAAAGTTAAACTAAAAATTGAATCATGATCATTACGACAATCAACTCGCCACATCATGAATCGTAATGAGATAGAGTTTTGTTCATCTTCTTGTTCATTCAAATTTGTCTCATGTGTTGACATGTTTAATAATTAGAGTTTCCCTTTCAATTAATTGCGCTAATTGATTCTAAATCATCCAACCGAATCATGAGTCAAACATTTAATAACAATTATGTTTTCAACCAACAGTGGACCCAATAAAGAAGGTAAAATTGTCTCTTTATTATCAACTCAACAATTTTTCAGCAATCAATTTCATCTGTTCATGGTTGACAATTTGTTAAAGATGAGTTAGTAAAATTGAAATTGATGAAAATGCTTTTCAATATTGAAAAGGAAAACGGGCAAAATGGTAAAAATAATGAGCAATCGGCTCAATTGATATCATTGTAATGGTTGTTTGATTAATTGTTTAATCAATTTCTGGTCAATTTGGTTGAATTGGAAAACTAATCATCTTACAATTAAAGTTAAAGCTTCTCATCACTTGACTAAACCTGTTATCATTGCCATTAAAGATCATCAAGGTTACCAAGTCATTTAAAATATCAAAATGAAAACGAGTCCATCATCCAAATGCAAAATAATATCAAACAAACGTGACAACATTAACTAATCAAACGTTGAACCTATCATTAAACAGGTTATCATATTTAAAAAGATAATAATAATGATAATGATAATAATAATAAAATTATTCTAAATGATTCAAAGTCAAAACCATAAAAAGATGCATACTAATGAGTTGAGGTAATAATGATAATAACTAATTGTTGATAATCTTGCAAAAGGTAATCTTGTTCATCAATTCAATTATTGACATTAAACTATTACACAAGTGATAAGTAATTTACTTTAAATCATTAATTTACAGTTTTGCATTGAACCCGTTTTCAAATAAACGGTTGAGTCAAGTTGCAAGATAGACATCTCACTAAACATCATCAGGTTATTTTGCATTATTATTGTGGTCAAAAATGATGCGATCAGATCCACTCATAGGTCATAACTGTCAAGTTAAATGCACATGACTGTTTCATTGAAATGAAATTGATAATGACCAAATGTTCAAATTGAAAGCTTTCGGCATCATTGGCTTACTTTTGATATCAGAGGAAAGATCCTTTTGTGTCCAATCCGACTACACTATTAGTCACTCTTAAGTTAACAAAAAAGGGTCCGACTTGAGTTAGTTTTTGGTACGGACCTCAACTTGGCGCTCACTAGAAAGTGTAACAAATGTAGTAATGTCGCAAATGCGAATTCATAACTTCGAGATATGGATTGGCTCTGAAAACTGATTTTTCGGGCTGAAGTCAGAAGCAAGTTCTGCAAAATACCGAGACTGGTTCATGTTTGGTTTGACGTACTGATGTTTGTGTCTTTGTGATCTTGAAGATCCTTTGTGTAACCTTTCTGAAAAGGTGACCTGGATAAGAGTCAATCCCTAACAAGACACGAAAATGCTTACAATCAAAGGTACAGTCAAAAGTTTGGAAATTGATTCATTAGTGAGAATTAATTCATGAGGTTCGAAAACGACATAATATTAAAAGAGTGAAAAGCCATCTGTACTAATGTTTCAATTACAGTTACTGATGTTTCATGGGCTAGAATTGATTGATTCAAATTTGCGCAAATTCAAGTGTCATCATCATCAACGGCTTTTGGCATTATTATTCTGATTGCCTCGCAAATAAAGTGTAAATTTTTTTCACATCATGCTAAAAGTATAGCCATTATGAGCCTAATTTTTTTGCTTCAATAAACTTTGACCGATAAAATCTTTGCCTATACATTTCAGCGTCACTTGAAAGTATTCATGAGTTTAAATTGACCAATTATCAAGTGCACAAATTACTATAATAATCTCGTTGAAACAAATTACGTTTCACCAAGTAAATTCGCATTTAGAATTCAAATGGAACAGTATTTTTGCTTAGTCTTTTCAAGCAATCAAATTTCATGAATCGATGATAATTCATGTTAATGATGAACCCAAAAAAAAGTTTAACTTGAAATCATGAATGTGATTCAATGAAGAAAAAAAAAGTAGAAATAAATTGAACAAACCTATTATTAGTTTTATTTAATAACATTCCGAATGTTAACATCATTAATGAGGTACATTGGACTATGGTAATAATGAGTGTAAAGTATGCATCAATTTGATGAAGCACGCCCAATACCTACATGC